TTTTATGTGCTGCCTCCCCCACTAAACCACAACAAAATGAACACACAAAAAAAGCCTTTATTTCAAATTTTCTGAAGCCTGGAGATGTATTTAAGAATTTCTGATGTGAGGACTGGCAAAAGATGGATGCTTTTAGGCTCATACCCGTGCCAGGCAGACTGTTGATATTTTATTGTTTTTCTTAAGCTTTGATTAGAGCTCAATGCATCGATAAGAATGTCTTGGTTCTTAGTCCCTTAAGTACTTCAGGGACTGTGCCTCATCCTGCTCTGCCCCTGCTTTATGTGGCTGAGGAGGTGCCTGGAACAAATCTTCCCGACTGTCAGAACTGTCTTTTGCTGGAATGTGTTGTCCCATCATGGTACAAAGCATTCCCAGGCGTCTGCCATTCCAGTTGCAGACTGCAAGTGTCAGCACTGGGAAAAACTTTCAGAAAAAGGGGTGTTCTTGGATCACTGATTTCTGACAGAGGCAAAGCTTGGACTTTGTACTGTAGTTGTCTTATTTTCTTTTTTTTTTTCCTCTGTTTTTATTATACTCATTCTGTTTGCTTCTGTGACTCTTGTGTTTAGGTAGCTGTATTTAACAGCGAAAAAATATTAAATTTGAAGATGACACCTTATGTAATCTGTTAAACCTGAAGAAAATACTTGATTGTAGCCCAGTTCCAGAGAAAAGGAGATGAAACTTTGATGTCCAAGGCTGTGGCAAACCTGATGTTCCACTGTAAGACAGTCAAGGCTGTTGCTATAAACCTGCTGTAGTGCAGGAGAGCAGTCGACTGCTTAATTACATAATTTATCTTTCCTACTTTGATTTTTATTTTATCTAAATAATCTCAGTGGTCTCTTCGCTTCAGACTTTCACTTTGATTCATATCTTTTATTTTATCTACATAAATATTTCATGCTGGATTTGATTAATCAAAGGGATGAGAACTAATTTTCCCCCTTACTTTTGAAATTGTTATTCATTCAGGACCAAACTTTCCACTTGCAAAAGCATTACAGGACTAGTATTTAGCCCTTGAAAAGGGCAGGGAAGGTGAATTAAATATAAGTTTCAATTAATTGTTCACAGATATTTTGTTAATATTTTTGAGTATGCTGAGTTGTGTGTTGCTTTCAAGAACTGAAGAGAAAAAAGGGGCTTTAAATGGACAGTTGCAGGATATAGGAAGAGGTCTTTGGAAGAACCTGAGGCCCAAAAAGATAGCTTCAAAATCACGAAGGTGTTATTTAAACTTACTGAAAGATGAAAGAGAACATGATGAAAGGGAAGTGTGCAACACCAAGTTTCTCCATTGCATTCTGGGAATACAAAGTATAAAATTTTCTTATATTACATGCAAACTCCAGGGAAGTTTTCACTTTTGGTGTCATTAGGACAAAGGTTCTTTCAGGTAAAGCAGTCTGAAGGGGACGTAGAGAAGGGTGGAGGAAGGGAAGTGAAGGACAGGTGGTTTCATGGTTTGCTTTCTTTCATCTCTTTGTTGGTGCTGATCCCTTTGTTGGTCACTAAATCCTACACAGAGCAAGCCCAAGCCTGACCCAGTTTGGTAGTTTAAATGTTGGAGCTTCTCTCTCACATCTTGCTGATGTTCCTTTCTGCCCATTAAGAAGGAGAATTGTGAAACACCAGTTTCAGCCTGTTTTATCTTGTGGAATATACAGTGAAGCCCTGACAAACCACACCCTTATAGGCAGGAATGGCATTTTCGAGGCACAACATGGCAGTGCTGTCCCTGAAAAGCAGGAGAAACTTCCTTGGCTGTTATACTTTGTCAGTTCATCCTTAGTGCTCCAAGCAGTTGAGTCTAAGGAATGCTGATTGAACTTGCAAAACATTTATCCACCCCCTTCTCCCTCCTGTGCTTCCTCCTCCCCTTCCTCCCCTCCTGTTTCTGTATGAGGAGGATAATGGTACCTGCTGAACCTGAGAATCAAGAAGTGCCTCTTGTCCGGTGTCTCTTGATCTCATAAACTGTTGATGTGCTCCTTTAACCACACACTTGAGGGCACAGATCTTTGTCTTCTCGCCCCAAAATTCTTGCAGATTGTTTGTCACCCTCTCATTTCGGTTGGGGCATCCACTGAGCACTGCTGAGGTGCTTCCTCCTGTTTCCCTCAAGAATTATTGATTTAGTAATAAATAAACCTTATTCAGGAGGCACCTTTGCCTTTTCTTCTCTTGCACCACCAACCAACATCATCTGATGTCATCTCTGTCCAGGCCAAGTGCAGTCACTTGACTGTGAACTGTTTCAGTTCTGCCTCCTCTTTTATGATTACCTTTCATTTATTTGTTTGTTAACTTGGTTCTTCGGGCATTTCTCTTTTCTTCACATATTTCTTTTTGCTGTTTTATATCAATAACTTCCATCAACTTCCTCTGCAGCTCTTCTTTGCAACTATTGGTCTGAGCTTGCTGTAAAATACCTTGTTTAGCTGGATCATATTTTACCATTAAGTAACATATAATTATATATCATCTTTAAATTGTCTCAGTTCCAGTTAGGTTTTGATAAATCACTTCTTGTGTTATTCAGTTAATCACTTTCTTCCTATGGAACGTTGCAGAGAAATATCTTTTTAATAAAGGCTTCTGAAATCCCACTTCTGTTGTTGAATGCATCCAAGTATCTTACACAGTGTTTTCCACCATAAAATGCATCTGGATTGTCAGCTCCGTGTTTATGTGTGTGCATTACAGCACTACAATTATTTTCCAGGGATCTTGGTGTGTTTGTGGCTGCCATTAAGATGAATGTGCAGCAGCTGCTGTTTTAAAAAGAAGCACTATTATATAGGCTGATGGATGGAAAGTTTGTCAAAAGTAGTGAAAGCTTCTACAGGGGATGCAAAGCAGCTGGAAAAATTCATTGTTATGTGCTGCTGGTACGAGTCTCTAGTTCAGCTGTGCTGCATTTGATTAGAAAGTTAGATTCTATGGAAGTGTCAAACAGAGTTCCTGATATTCTCTAATTTTATGGCATTTCTAATGTAGTATTCACCTCTTTGTTCTTGGCCAGGGAACCTACTGGTTTTGCTTGAATATGTGTTAAGAAGCAGTACAGCATAATAAAAGTTGGCAAATGTGAGCTGTGTTTATTACTTCTACACGACTGTCTTGTTGGCCAATGGAAATTAAAGTGCCCTGTTGATTGTTTCATTTGTATTTGTGGAGAATGGCTTGAACAGCAGATGAACAATGCCAAATTCTTTCCTTTTTTTTTAGTTCTCTATTATGTTACAAACAATACTGTTCTCTGCTTCAAAGTACAACTATAATTAGAAATGTGATTATGTAAAAGTGGCACCATCTTATTCAGTCCTGCTTCTTCCTGGGCTTAGTCCTATTGTGACTATTTTTGTTTTCCAGGTACCCACGTTTCTCCTGGGGTTGCACCAACTCGGTAGAATTTGTTTTTTTGCAAGGGACTTTATTCTGTAGTAGCACCTGTTTTATCTATATGCAGGGGCTCAGCTCCAGTGCTTGAAATTCCTCCTTTCTGAGTCTCCAAGTGCCTTTCATCCTTCTCTGTGGTGCTCATTTATCTGTCTGTCTCCTGTGTGCCAGACATCTTTACTTACTGGGGAGTGTCTCTCTTACTTTTCTATTTCTGGGGGTTCCCAGAGCCAGTTTTTCTCTCTTTTGAGTCTCTCCTGATGGTCAATATCAAGATGACATTTAGAGGACAACATCTTCCCGCCTTATATATTCTCAAAATATCAAAAGAGAGAAGGATAAAACAGCTTATTTTGTGCTCCAGGTTACCATAAGAGACAGAGGTAGACAAGGCACTTCATGATTTAGGATTGGGATTGCAAGTTCTTTATGCAGGATAAATAACAAGTGCTTTCTGCAGGATAAGAGAATCCACTTTGGGCCAATGAAGGCTAAACTCAAATATGTCCCACTGATGCTCACTGGGGTTTGTTGCACTATGGTCACCTTTTCAGAAACTTAATCCTTACCAGACTTGATTTAGAAAATCATGTCAGAATCGAATGCTTTTGAGATATAATGAAATATCCAAATTTCTGTGTTTGTGTCAAGCTAAACTGTCATGTTTTCACTATTAGGAAATGTGCTTCACCCTGCTTCAGGGTGGTGGTATTGGAATGTATCCTCCCATTTACTGGAAAACAAAAATCTTGTTATGCTGATATGCTCTCAGACAGAGAAGGTTAGGAAGGTACTTTGGATGAAATATTGGGAAACCTTCAAGCCACCCGGAACTTTCAAGCTCTCTGGGTAACAACAGAATAACCCATGGCAGGAGTGTTCAGAGGAATGAGGGCTAATCTTATGTTCTGACCAGTACAGACTTTTTTCAGCGTAATAGAATCCACAGTTTCAGGCTGGGAGGGGAACTGCAGTCACATGGGTGGCAGAACCAAGATTATCATGCTTTGTACCCAGGTTTATAGGTCTTTGTTAGAAAGATCTGACCTAGTGGTATAATCTATTATTAACCTGCATCTGTATTAAGTATAGGTATGTATTATAACTGAAGAATTATGGGGATTTTTTCCACCATTTGCTCAGTTCTTTTTATTACTTTATGTGTCATTTTTGCCATGGTAAGACTGTAGAAATAAATTCAGAGATGCTAACAGAAAATGCCTGTGTTCCAGGCAGAACTTTAGTTGCTAGAAATGTCATAGAAGTAGATTACTAGATTTTTGCTGGGCTCACAAAGAGTGCTGCACCAGCAAATGCAAAAGCGAACGGGCCTGCATCAGTTTACACTGAAAGGAGTTTCTCGTTTTAACTACACTTAGTGTGTTTAATCTGGTGATATATCCTTTGAAAACAAGGAACATTCTATTAGAGCTCACCTTAGGATCCAGATGCTTTGATTACCTTCCCTGGGCATCACATTTGATTTCGGTGTCGAATTATTTCGCGCGCGGCTGAAAAAAACTCCTTCGATTTTTCAACGTTTCTTCTCTCTCTCTTTTTCTTTTTTTTTTTTTTTTTTTTTTGTCTTGCAGTTTTCAGTGAAGAGCTACACGCCAGTCTATACTTTGTCAATGCATCTCTGCAAGAGGTAGTGTTTGCCAGCACCACAGGGACACTGGTCCCCTGTCCAGCTGCAGGGATCCCCCCTGTGACGCTCAGATGGTACCTAGCGACGGGCGAGGAGATCTACGATGTCCCAGGGATCCGCCACGTCCACCCCAATGGCACTCTCCAAATTTTCCCCTTCCCTCCTTCAAGCTTTAATAACTTAATCCATGATAACACTTACTATTGCACAGCTGAAAATCCTTCAGGGAAAATCAGGAGTCAGGATGTTCACATTAAGGCTGGTAAGTACTGTCTTTTATTTGGGTTCGAAGGGGCTTGAGGAGGGGGGAAATTTCGGTGTTTCAAAGGGCAGCAGCAGCTGTAATTCGAGGGAGAATGGACAGAAGTGTAACCTCTGAACTCTTAACAATATTCAGTAAAATACTGGATTCTTTCCTCCTTAGTTTGAATTATTTTTGGGATTAAAAGTATAAGGAAAAACGAACTGATAATGAAATCAGACCATGCTCACACATTAAAGAGCTATGAAGGAAAAAGATGAGTTCTTGGATATTTTGTACAGGGGCTGGAAGAAAAGAGGGATATTTGCCCAATCACATCCCTTCTCATTTCCTTGTAGTCACTTGTGCTCTATTTTGAGAGGAAAAACTTGTGTCCTGTGCAATGATTCTGCAACTGCTGTGGGTCCACAGGCAGTGCTTCCTCTTTAAGCTGAAAGATGCAAATGAGTGCAATGGTTTTGCATCTGTTTTCTCTACTGGCTGGGTCAGCAAGTGGAGAATTAGAGTGGGATCAAAATCAGGCCTTTTGTTACAAAACATAAACACATGATTGCGTTGTTTTTGAAGATTTTTGTCTACCCACTTCAGTTAATTAAAATATTCAAACAAACAAACAAAAAGTAGTCTGGGAGCTGACCCTTGGCAAATGCCAATCCTTGGAACCTCTTTGTTGTTGGTGGAGCTAAGCTTGGCTTTTCCCACAAGAGAATTATCTTTCCTTTGGAGATATCTCTTCACAGGAATTTCACAGGGAGAACCGTGGACACTTAGCAAGTAGATTTGCCCGTGACTTTCTTTTTAAATAGGAAAATGTATTCTCTTCTTCTGAACAATAAATTAACATTCAGAGATCTGTAGCTGGTAGACAATGGGGAGGCAAGAATAAAAACCAGGTTTCCATGAAATTCATGTCTCATTAAAATTTTAGTCTAGAAAAGTGGGTTTTCTTGCACAAGAAGCAAGTTATCATGCTACATATATAGGGAGTTTCCATAATGGTCCGTGTTCCTTATGAAAATGTTCAGTTGTCCACAAAGAAAAGCTTGAAAATCAAAGATTCATAAGAACACATTGTAACCAACTTAATGGTTGAAACTCACTTCTGGTTTTTGTGCTTTTGGTTTTACTTTCATGGATTTGTGGACAAGTTGTCTGTAAGAATTATATTTAGAGACAGCATAATATACTTTTTTCATGTGTGGATTTGTTTGTGTATCTCAATTTTGAACATCTTTTGGGCATAATTTTTTTTCCCCCAGTGTTAGTTTCTAATTTTTCTATTTCTTAGATAAACTAGAAGTGATGTAAAGGAGGTTAAAAATTGCAATGACTTGCTTGGTGTTCCTTTAGGTGTAAAGTAGATGACAGGGGTGACAGGATGTAGCTCTGTTTGTTCTCCAGCAGTGACCCATCAATCCATGGAACCTCAAAAGAAATCTTCTCCCTCTGTTTGAGCAATAAGCTTTGCAAATAGAAAAAGGACCTCAAAACAGGGCTTTGCAGTAGCAGCTGTAGCTGCTTGACTCATAAGTTAACAATTTTTTTATTATGACCAAGTCAGAAATGTCCCTTTACCTCTTCTCTTTCCCTTTTTTAACCTTTTACCGCTCATTTCTCCATTTGACTCAATTTCTCAGTTAATCTGAGGTTTGGATAACAAGTTAAACAAGTCCCTTTCCTTCATGTGAACTGGTACTGTGTGTCAGAGCTCTCATTGTGCCTGATGGCAGAGAATAGTTGTTATTGAGCATCTTTTCCAAAGGCTCGTGTAATCCCTCATTCATAGCAAAACACAATTTTGAGAGCCTTCTGTGCATAGCAGTAAGTGTATTTTATGTTCAGGTGATAACCCCTGTGCTGTTAAAATGTGAAATTATTAATTTCATTTGTTAATGTGGTACTTTCATGTGAAATCTGAACACTATTTCAGATTGGCCCTAATTAGCATGATTTTGGAGGGGCCTTTTCTAATCCCTTCTCTGTCTTCTCCTGCTTCCAGTGCCCCTCCAACAGCAACAGAGTTTCCTAAAAATGCAGAAGCTTTGTGGAGCTTGTGTTCCTAGCACAAAGACTAGCACAGCTCTGTCCATTCTCACAGTTGGCTGGAGAAAGTCTGAGCCTCATTTACCTGTTTCCCCAAGGATATGGGAAGCAGATACAAGAGTTCCAGCTCACAAATTACTGTAATTGTGTTTTTTCATGTAATTTTGCATGTAGTGCAACACATATCCCCAACCTCTCCAAAAACATAATCCCCTCCACCAATGAACCCAAACCCAACCCTCTTCCAGGCCTGTCCCACATGGGATTAAAGGTGAATATCTCCTTTTTGTCTTCAAGCTTCCCTGTGCAGTCATGGCAGGGAAGAGTATATTTTTTTAGCCAAGAAATTCTCATATAAATTAATGACCTGGGGACCTGGGATTTAAAAAAAAAAAAAAAAAAAAAATTTGAAAGAAGTAAAAATCAGCAATTTATTCATGGGAACTCTCAAAACTACAATCTGGAAATAGCTGAGGGGCCTCGTAAATCACAATAATGTAAATTTTTTTAAGCAATGATGTGAATAAACCTCTTTCCAGTTTTTGTGCCCCACATGGTTTCTGTATTTGGGCAGATTTTCAAAATGGCCAACTGGTCTGAAAGGTACAAATACCTTTAGCAGTGTGTTAGGACATTGCTGCTAAACAGGCCTGTTCTGTAAATGATGGCTGAAGCAGGAGCCTTAGACAAAAGTCAGCCTCATTAAGATGATCTGTGTGCCATTCCCTCGGTGTAGAACAAGATTAGGGGGCTGCTTCATCACAGGGCAGCCACTGTTGTAAAGTCACTGTATTGAAGTGTTTCAAATACAAGTTCAACACTTACAGCAGGGTTAAGAATCTTAACCTTTGATTAAAAATAAATTACCTTTTAAAAACTAGTAGTACCTTTCGTATAATAGAAAATGGAATTTATTTCTTTTTTAAAAAGATATTTAATTTTTAATTGAATTTATTTTTATTACATTTATTTTTTTAGTTAGGGCTTCTAACAGTTATATTGTTATAGCAATGTTTGGGGTGGAGAACTTCATTCTTCCTTCTTGCAGTGGTAGCACTGGACCTGAAAACTTGATGCTGTTTCCATTTGTGAAGACTACAGTTACATCTCAGTACTCTGCCTTTTTTTTCATGAAATACATTGTAAATGGGGCTGACTCTTAAAAATTCCAGTGCTCCTGCTGTATAGAAATGCTTTTGTAAACTCTGAAAAGGATTTACTGGCTTTGCCTGTCCTGTCTTACCCATTTATTTATATGTTGTAGTGGACAACATCTGTTTCTTCCCTGCTCTACCACCTTCTCCATCAACTGTTGCTCACAGAAATTTTCATCCCTCACTCTTCATGGAATTATTTCTGAGCCAGGATTTTCCTTCTTTCCATTCTCCTACACAATGCAGCTCCATATCATCCCAGCAATATTAGGATTTCTCCAGTTGTGCTTTTATCCTCTTTGTCCATCCAGTTGTGCTTTTTTCTCTCTGTTCATTAAATTATTTCTTTCAGATGCAAGACAAATAAGTCTGGACCTAAGTGTTTTTTGAATCGTGCTGGTTTTTAATGTAACATGTTTTCACTTGCTGCAATCATGGTTTTGTTTCTGTTCTCTTACCATTATCTGATTTCTTTCAGGGCTGGTCAATCCAGTGTAGCTCTTACCTTTCGTACTCTCATTTCTCTGTGTTTCTGAGACACTTTGGTTTTTCTCTTGCTGTCACCTCCATTGATTTTCTCCTTTGCTTCTCACTTCTTCAAAATCCTAAATGACACTGACCTTCTCTTCTCCCCTCTGGATGTCTAATTCACACACAGAGCCTGCATGTTCCTCGTGCTCTTTGATAGGGCAGAAAACCCTTCGTGAAGGGAAACATGGCACAGGAAACTAGACAAGTTAACAGAAGGCATAACACCATTTACCCCCATCAACACACAGTTCTTACCCCAGCCTTTCTCCTCGCCCCCAGGATGAGGTGGGGGAAGGGCACAGAAATGGTGAAATGCAGATTTTGAGGGAAAAAAAAAAAGCCCCGGGAACGCTTTCAGATGTTAACTTTGCGAAATGGTGTCATTTACTGAGGCAGAAGAGCTCACAGCTTGAGTCACCTTCTCGGGGGGGGGATCTGCAAAACCGACTGAAGAAAGGGATGAGACGGTGGCAACTTGTTTAATGGCACCTCTTTTTCCCCCCTCCAGTTTTACGGGAACCCTATACAGTCCGTGTGGAGGACCAGAAAGCCATGAGAGGCAATGTAGCAGTGTTCAAGTGCATTATCCCCTCCTCTGTGGAGGCATACATCACTGTTGTCTCATGGGAGAAAGACACAGTCTCGCTTGTCTCAGGTAAGCTCTTACGGTTTTCCTTCCCAGCTGGCACTGGCAGGGATGTTTCTGGATGATTTCCCCGCTCCCCAAATGCCTGATGTTTCCTTGGATTCAGTTATAGCTGGACGGGATGTCATCCTTGCACTTCAGCATTGCTGCATCCCTGTGACTGGGTGTGTGACGTGAAGGCTTTGGACAGCGCTGCTTGGGGGAAAAAATAACGTGGTTTTTGTTTTATACCAGACACAGAACCAACCTTCTGGTGCTGTGGCAGTGGGTTTGTGGTTTAACTTTGATAAAGAGCTCCCATGTGCCGAAGAAATTTGAGTGTCACAAAACATGTGCTGGGTTGTAATTGTTTTTTTTTCCACTCGTAATGCTACTCATGGATTAGGAGAAACCCAGAGTCTAAATTTGTTTGGTTATGTTTAAATGAGGTATGTAATTGATATTTATACTTTCACAGCATTTTAATCTCAGATATCTTCACAGATAACACTGGAGGCTTAAGCACAGTGCCATAATCTGAACATATTGAAGTGAAACAATCTATACTAAAGCAGTTATGTGCATTAATCTATTTACTGGCAAAGTGAGGAAATGTGAGGCATTTTTCAGGAAGTACAGGGAATTCAGGCAAAGAATATCTAATGTTTTAAAGCACAAACATTCTAAGAAATTCAAGGGAGAAGGAAAACGTAGGAAGACTATTTTCAGTATAGTACATACCTAAATTCTATGTATTACACACATGCTGCTGTTGTTACCTGTACAAATGATTTATGTGTGAAGAAATTGGAAATGTGTCGGTCCAGAGTGATGCAGAATGGAAAAAAAAACAGTTGGAATTAAATGTTGCTGCAGAATATATTTAAGAATATATTTGTGTTTATGATCCTTCAGTGTGTGGAAATGTTTTTGTAACATCCTCAGGCCTCAGGATATTAATGATCTTTTCTTTCTGACAAACATGGCATTGATGGAATATCTATGTCTCTATATGACTCATATTATAGATTTCATTTCTCTCTGTATTTTATTGATTCTTGACATCACCTTGTTCTACTTTTTCAAAAAATATATTTCAAAGAGCTTTCTAAGGATTTGGTAGATATTTTAAGTACCATGTAACTGATGAGCAGTTGTTCTGTATTATTGGTTCACTGTTTAGGCTTGGTGAATTCTCTTCCTTATTATGCTCTTGGATTTTAATAGGAAATATTATTTTTGTCATTGAGCAACTGAAATGGAGTGTGTTCTCTCAAAGAGGTCTGTAATACCTGAATTGTAGGACTCACCAACACTTCAGCCAACACAAGTCAGATTTGTATTTAAATACACAAATAAGCTTTCCATTATTCTCTAAATAATGATACAGAAATATGTTTAGGATTATCAAAACTATGATTATTTAATGCAACAGTGGATGGATGTGCTTATTTTCCTTCATCTTAAAATAGACTGCTACATGATGCACATATATCTGTATGTGTGAGTGTTGCCTGGAGCAAAAAAAGTGTATGTCTGTGTGGTTAACTACCTCAATTTTTATTTTTTTTAAGTTTGTTCATTATGAATTATAAGAAAAAATGCATATTTCCTCAGTCAACATAGATTGTATCCTCTCAATCTGATTTTTTTTTGAGCTGAACATTAATACCTTGTACCTTTGTGATATCCCTGGGTGGCTCAGTCCTGCCCTTCCCCCTGGAATCAGGAGTAGGGCACACAGGTCTCTGTAATCCCTTCTTTAGGGAAGAAAATATGGCAGTTCTGCAGACCACCATGGCTTCTACTTATAGACAATTTTATTTTGAGTGGATTATATTGGTTTTAACCCTAAACTTTTGGGGGATAAAAGTGTGTAATAACATTTAACTATATCGACCTAAATCTAATAATTTACTTTCCTTAATGCAACTTCTGGCTGTGGTTGACCAGGCTAGCATCATAAAATATCTATTACAAACTTTAACAAGTTTCTAATTATCTCACAATCCCTTAATTCTGCAGTTGGCAGAACCCTAAATGGAAATAAAACATAATTCATTACAACCGAAGCTATTAAAAATCTCAGTTTATCACATTGGGTCATGTCACGGAAGAGATTTAGTTTCAGAGATGAAATCACAGGTTAGATGACAGGTCAGTGCTACCTGTCATGCAAGGGCAGGAGGGAGGCAGGAAAACATTGCTCTGCTTTAACCACAGGGATGGCAAGATTTGTTTGTTCACCATTTAATGCTCTGTAACAGCAGCTTAACAGTGAGAGCATTTAAAAACCCCAACCCACACGTGTTTCATAAAACAACTGGCTTAGGTTTTGCCCATAATCAATTTTGCAATAATCTGGCCACGAACCCAAATGAGGGGTATTGATCAAGCCTGTCTTAGAATGCCAGTGCTGATGAATAGGATGCAAGGCATAACATGGCTATTGAGCTGTTTCCCTAATGATCAATATTCCAAGGAAATGCATATTCTTGCTTATGCAGCCCCTGCTTGCATGTTGGGTGGTTGTTTGTTTTTTTTTTTCCTATGTGCTAGACCGGATTCATTGGTGTGATTTTAATTTCACCGTTAAATATTGGAAATATCAAGTCCTGATTTGTTTTCTTCTTGTTTCTTAATGTAACTGATTTATTGATTATTCATTAGCATCAGCAAAAATGAGAGTCACCTTGAGGGAAAAAAACCTCTGCTGTGAAAGAGCGAGAATATAAAAAGATACACACTTGGAGAATGATGGTTTCCATGGCTTGAGGTGGACGAGACTTTTTTGGGAAAACAAGGTAGTATTTGTGGAACAATAAGAAAAAGCAAAGAGGAAAAAAAAAGTGGGGAAGAGGATCAAGATGAGAAGAACAGTAGCTCTGAGTGGAGCTACCAGAAGGATGGAGAGAGACTGTTTACAAGAGCAGGTAGTGACAGAATAAGGGGAAATGGCTTCAAACTGACAGAGAGTGGGGTTAGATTAGATATTAGGAAGAATTTTTTCCCTGTGAGGGTGGGGAGGCCCTGGCACAGGTTGCCCAGAGAAGTTGTAGATTCCCCATCCCTGGAAGTGTCCAAGGCCAGGCTGGATGGGACTTGGAGCAACCTGGGCTAGTGGAAGGTGTCCCTGCCCATGGCAGGGGGTGGATCTGGATGATCTTTAAGGTCTCTTCCAACCCACAGCATTCTATACATCCATGATTTTCATTGGGATGATATATACATTTAAAATGGAAGACACAACTAGCCCAGGAAGCTTAAACCTTACAGCAGGGAAAGGGAAACACCCTATGACAAGAAATAGGGGAGCTTTTCAGTGGGGAGGCTTTATAAGCAAGTGGATCAACAGAGAGGATTTTTTTTTTCTTTTCTGCATGACTTAAACCCCAATGCAATATTTCCAAAAACAATTTAAAGTAAATATTTCATATACCTGTCTACCTGTAGTGCAATTCTGACTACTAGGATAGAGAGATCTGTAGATAAACCAGAATCCTTTATTGGAGCTGTTACTGATCTAGATATCAGCTCTCTTTTTATATACATGTAAAATTTTAAACGAAAAAAACAAGAAAAGCAGTGTTTTTACTTTTATAATGTAAAAATATCCCACCCTTTTAGAAAGAGTGTTTAGGAAGGTTATTCCTTGGTTAAAGCAGGATTATATTTTCTGAGCATATCTGCTTTTGTCTGTATGCTTGATTTTCAGAGAGCGCAGTGATGTCCACAGTGATCAAAGTGTGGAAAAAATAGAGCTGGGCAAAACCATCTTCTGTTTCCTGGCTGCAATTTTATGTCATGCCTCCAGGTTATTGTAAAGTAATTGGGAGTTGAAACATATTAAGACCCATTGCTGGAGCATTTCCAAGGAATATCCCACTAGGTCAGACTCCATGTTCAATAAACGGGAAGGTGCCCACGTTTGGAGGCAGAAAAAACAATTTTTATGAACTCTCCATGTGCAAGGACAGCTGCAGACTGAAAAGGTGTGCATGTGCTTGTCTATCTCTCAGGGGAACAGCTACATAATTGGGGTTTTGCTCCTACACTTTGTCTTTTCCATGTGGCAGCAAATCTGAGGCCAAAAAGCTTTTTCAGGGTGTCCTCTGGGGCCAAGGTAGCAAAAACAGAAAAGATTTTTAAAGCAAGGCAAACCCAATTATTTGGATGAATTTCTCTAGAGGAAAAGTGGAAAGCCCCGGCCTCCAACAGCAAATACCCAGAAATATTTTCGTACTGGAAAGCTCCATTTTGAATAATAATTATTAGATGAAATATTGAGCCACCTCCACTGTGTAGAGCTGTGTTACAAACTCTCTGACAGAGAAGGACAGCAGCAGACCTTGGCAGTTGTCAGTCTGCTCCAGGTGCATCAAGTGTGTTGTATTTGCCTCTTTGTGTCCTCTAGCAAAAGCAGTCAAACCGTGCAGAAGGTGCCTGTGTTGCCTAAAGACCTGTGAGGTGTCAGCAAAACAGAAGGACTGATGGTAGCTCTGAGAAGTCTCAAGGGGTTCACAAAGTGCAGGTTTGCTGCTGTACCAACCTCTACAGCTGGAACTTCAGGATCTCTTCTGAAGATCCCACTTTATTCTAAAGAATTTGATACTGTCAGTGGACCTGAGACTGAATCTGAAGTTCATTTGAATTATAACAGGGAGAGTAATGATGTGCAGTGTTCTCTCAGATCAGTAACCAGCTCTTACGTGTTTTCATTAGACGACACTAACCATAAAAGCTTAAATCCTCCTAGTACACTGTGATGGATAGCTGCGTAAATCTTGCTCAAAAGCTTCCTTTCCCTCTTACAGCTTTCCTTCACAAAGCATTCCCAAAGAAAGAGGCTTTTGGAATAAGGTTTGTGTTGACCTTGGAACCGCTGACAACAGCCAAGGTCCTGCAGGACCAAAGGGTGCAGCAAAGAATATTTTTGTAATAACAGCCATAAAATCAAGAGACAATAGTGGAGAAAAGTGCCACGGATTGTGCTTTTGCTCCCACTGAGCAAGTGCAAGGCAGGTGGGAGTCCAGTGCTTGGTTCATTCCTTCTTCACACACAGAACAGTGAAGCTGGGCTAGAAAGGAAGGTAAAATAATT